AAATACGAGTTATTGTACAAAATGTAAAGGTGCCGGAGAGCCATTTCAACTGATTCGTATCCGCGAGTTTTATCAACTTTCAGGTGACCCTTTGAATCGATTTTAGCCGAACATCTGTGCATTACCGACAAAGAAAGAAGGACCAGAAATGTGGTGAACTATAGTTCCTTTAGACAATGAAGGAGAACCTGGATTATGGAACGTGGAAAGTAACAATTTAATTTTCTGCTTTGTAATGATATGATGCTGTAGAAATATTTATCTATTTTTAGCCTAAATATTCTTGTGGAGGACACTGAATTTTTCTCAAATAATATATTGTATATAAATATGACACTAGTAAAGCCTGCATCAAATTACTTTATGAGGTGTGATAAAACAAAATCAGTTAACATAAACAAACCCTACAAACATCCAGTTAAGCGGTGAGCAATCAGTTTCATTGAGAAAAAACTTCTCGTGAAAATTGCTGTTTCCTTTTGATATCGTTCTAGAAAATAAAAAGAAACCCACGCTGCATCATGGCAGCTGGGCAACACATTATTCGCCATGTCTTATTTTGAAACATTTAAAACAGACATTAAAAACTCTGGATATCGACAACAGAAGATTGATATTCATAAACTCGTTCCGTCAACTGCTCTTCATCATATTTCTATCACTTTCTTCCATCGAACTCCAATCATTTTTAGCATCACCTAACCATGCTAGCGACAACCTGACTTACAATTGAGATAGAGTCCTCCACTTGTTAATGAATGCATAGTAATTAAGCCAAAGATAACTTGGCCAGATGCTGCATGAAACAAAAATGTTGAATTTGTGTCTCAGAACTCCATCAACTCGTTCACCAGCCATCCCTTACATCAGCAAAATAATCCAGTCGGACCTTGTTGCAGTGTTTGCGCAAATAACTGATTCGCCGATCTCTGTTCTACATCAATGGCCACCAGTTATCTATTCTTTTATCTCGATGGTTTTAATTTCAATATGCCTGTCAGTTTCTCGCGAATATGCATGGTCGAGCCTTTCTACATCTAACATAATATGTATGGTAACAACAAAATACTTCTTAGAGGCATGAAATTGACCCAGTTGTAAAAAAATTCCTTTAAATTCACGTAAATTAAACCGACCGGCCGCGACAGCATAAAAGAATAATAATTATGCCCGCTATTATGAAAGACTACTACTAGATAAAAAAAAACTTTTAATGATGACAGTTTTTACAACTGTACGTTGTCAGTGCCGAAAGGGACGCCATGTTGAAATAACGTACAATAGAAAATACAGTTAATCAGAATTCAGGAAATCGGTTGTGAGCTATTGGATATCGTCCAATGATAGTATAGTACGAAGTACCGTTAGATACTCATTAACGTTGTCCAGATTACGTGCACTCTTTTCTTATTCCGTAATATCACTTTTAGTTCGCTTTCAACCTGAGAACTCCACTTTGTCATTTGCCCACCCTTTTCCACCCACAGGCTGCATCAGGGAAAAATGGCCACGGACTTATCTCACCCTTGATGGGGCTTTGCTTTTTCCAACAAACAACTAACCATAATCGTTTCATTTTGCGCGTTCCTGTGCTGTACTTGTAAAGACAATAGCCCATAAAACTATTGTCTGTAGGTAAGACGTCACTTCTACATATATAAGGAGACGGTTTTCTTAACAACATCTTCGTGGGACACTCAAGCCTCAAACCCAAAAACTAAGGATTTCAGCGTAAGAAAAAAATTTGTGCACGTATGAATGCTGGGATATCTTCAGAAGTTTAGTTTTATCAATGGTACCACGTCTCTTCTTCTTCTGTTCTTTGTTCTTCGTTCTTTGTTCTTCTGTTATTTTTCCTTCGCTTCATTGTCTATCAGAATGTCACACTATACTACCGGCCTCAATTCTACATCAGCAGGTTGTTCGTCTTGATCAGCCCTAGTACCACAAGAAAAGCAGCTGAGGATATTCTTAAGACCCTGGCGATAATTCCCACTGAAAGTAAAACAGATGCAAGGATTTATAGCACAGTTCGAGCGAGCCAAAAAATAAGAGAACCGCACAAACTGTGCGTAGCGACAAGAATGCAGCATGACCACATCTGCTGAGAAGAGGACCAGAAAATGGTGGATAGTCAAGGGTAGAAAACATACCACAAACATAGACACGATGGCGATGGCCATTTTCAACACGTTTCGCTCCCTTTTCAAACGTTGTTGCTCAGCGTTGACTGATGTTGCACAGCCCGGGACGATCTGTGTTTTGAGCTTGAGAACGATGATCGTGTAAAGAACGATGATCAACACCATTGGAACATAATAGAGTATTACGATATTACTAAGGCCATAATATATAAGGAAGGAGGCATCTCCGAATTCTTTTTCCCAACGATACAAACACATAAGACTTGCTGAGGGAAGCTGAACAAGTCCAGGAGCAATAGAAAATGGCGACTGAATGGCGACAGCGAAGATCCAAGTGGCGAGGATAAAGAAGGGGCACCGCCTCGAACTGATGACCGGAGAGCGAAGGGGAAAAACAACAGCTCCAAATCGATCCACTGCTATTAGGACCAGGCTCTGAATAGACACAGCATTGGAAACTTCCGGTAAAAAGATCACCAGTTTACACAAAACTTCACCAAAAGAACCACTGATTAGCCAAGAGTTGGTTTGCATTTGTGTTATCACCCAAGAAAATAGAAGCAGCGGATACAGAAGATCAAACATGGCCATGTTCACAATTAAAAGGTTGATGGGTTTCCTCATGGTTTTCGTTTTGTAAACAACCACTCCGAGGAATATATTCCCAACCACAGAAACGACAAATATGAGACAGTAAGCAAAGGTGTATCCTATTCTCCGTGCACCTTTAAACTGCTTTGCAAAGCAGTTTGTAAGCTGGGTGTTATTTATGGCTGTACTTACGTTTGCCGACATTTTCGAGTTACCTAAGAAGTTCAGTTTTAAAGCTGTTTTGGTGACCTGGCTTGAACAAAAGACTGCCTTATTCGCATAACGAGCGTCCTTGTGTTCGAACAAATGTATGTTTTGATACGACTGTTAGCTTTTGGTGATTATTGGAAAAAATTAATTAAAGTTAGCCATCTGGAAGCTTAACACTGAGAAAAGCCTTAGGGGGCCACATCAATCAAGAAAGCAGTGCGAATTATCATAACGTTATTTACTTGCATCTTCTTAGCTCAGTAATTCTCGGTTGTTGCTGAATACAACAGCTCAGCAATTAAGAAAAGTGGAGGTTGAACAAGGATTCATTCATTCAGATATATATATTATAACCATGCTAGACATTTATGTACTTTATCGATGCCACTAGCTAATTTTCATTTTGATGGTTTTAGCGTCACGCTGTTTATATATCGGGGTGAAATTAGCAACTTGCTACTTTCAAAAAATTTTGAAAAACAAGAATAATGCTAGTTTGACAATAAGTTTGACCAGCTGTGTACCAACTGTGTAGTTTAATAAAATGACTCTTTCATTCAATGAAGGAGACTTCTCAGACACTTGAGCGATATGTAACTTTTGCTAACAGAGGTGGGCATGGGGGTCTATTAGAAACCGCAAAACCGTAAAAAAAAAAAAGGATCAGGTGGAAAAGGAGGATTGTGGAAAGTGCGGAGTGTGGAAAGTGTTGAGTGTGGAAAGTGTCGAGTGTGGAAAGTGTGGAGTGTGGAAAACGTGGAGTGTGGAAAGTGTCGAGTGCGGAGTGTGGAAAATGAAGAGTGTGGAAAGTGGGGAGTGTGGTAAATGCTGAGTGTGGAAAGCGCGGAGTGTGGAAAATATGGATTGTGGAAAGTGCCGAGTACGGAGTGTGGAAATTGCGGAGTGTGGAAAATGAGGAGTGTGGAAAGTGCGGAGTGTGGAGAATGTCGAGTGTGGAAAGTGCAGAATGTGGAAAATGAGGAGTGTGGAAAGTGCGGAGTGTGGAAGATGCAGAGTGTGGAAAGTGCGGAGTGTGGAAAATACGGAGGGTGGAAAACGCGGAGTGTGGAAAGTGCAGAGTGTGGAAAATACAGAGTGTGGAAA